ACGATCTGAAATGCAAGTATCAAGCGCAAAGCACAAGTAACTTTATGGGCGGGTCTTTAACTTTAAGTTTAAAAGGGGTTGGTCTAAAATAGCTTCATTAGGTGTGATTTGGGCGTAATAGAAAATAAATCAATCAGACCGTCATCCAACATACCCTTTAATAGCAGGTATGCATGTTGCATGCCAGATTGTTATTATTATAACAAGCAAGGAGCGGTTCGCCGCGAGAAACCGACGTTCTTGTCAGGGCCGTGAAAGACAGAAGTGACGTTGTATGGGGATGGGAGAAACCCCCACAAAGCAGCGTCGGTTAAACATTATATATTACATGTTTGTGTCTTGCCACTATTGGGCAAACAGGTCTGATCCGCCATTATTACAATTAGCCTGAAAAATTTGGGTAAATGTGTAAGCTAGATTTAGGCCTACATATTTTTTACATCTTCATGGACACCACAATGATTTCCCTGGAACTGCAAAATAGCACAGGGAATGTTTGCGCCAAAACACGCCACCTTTTTGTGTCGACACGCCCAGGGAGTGCAAGTTCATTTCCTATTTTACCGGCGTGCATCTGTGGAGTGAAAAGCCCGCTTTGCGCGGGTGCAAATGTACAGCGTCAATGTACAAAGTCATTTGCACCATAGATATGTATATAAAGGCTAGATGTGTTACGGCGGAGTTTCCATCGTCATCAGAGGCGGCCATCTTGTCACAGGCAAGCTGATGTAAGATGAGTGGTCAGCACGAACACAAATACTCTTATCTCGTTGAAATCTTGACGGATTTACAAACGATTTGGTTTCTTACAAACGTTATTAACGTGGCTATAATTATCTGGATGATTATTTATTTATACACTTTTTATTCATAAGTGTGCAGTGTCATAACTACATCTCTAACGTTTATAACAAACCAGACCGTTTGAAAATCGGTAGAAAATTGAGCAAGTCATGGTCATTTAAATAGTGCATGTACCATTAACACAATGTTACGAGTGAGCGAGCTGCCTGTGACAAGATGGCCGCCAGGTGCAGACGTCGACCTCCATTGGCCAGCAGCGTGGACGACATATCTAGCCTTTATATAGATATCTATGATTTGCACCGGGTGCAAGATACTGTAGAGCCCTGTTTCTTTTTGTGTGTTGGTGTCTGTCCATGCTGTCTGTCTGTGCTGGTTGAAAGATAATTAGTACTCTAAATCTGCATCTGACACATTCCCACAGCGACTCATAGACTTCCCATATCCAGGAAAACCATTTCTAAATCACCTCTTCATGTTGATTATCTCTCTCTTTCTTCCCCACACACTTTTTCTAACGTTTCTGTTTTTTTCCCCACACAAAATCTATCTCTTTCAATCTGCTGAATAGCTATTTGTGTCTGGAGTTTCATTAGTTTATGTGTGTATTGTGTACCATAAATACAAAGAGGCAAATTCATTATTAAACACATTGATACTAATCAAGAGCAACTCACAGACCTCCATTACAGAACTGCTGGGGGAATAATGGGGAAGAGTTCGCTAAGAATGAACTCTGCCCGGTAATAATGTCATTTATTTTCGCATGCTATTTGTGAGTTGTGGTAGCACCCAATACACTAAAGGAATTATGCAAATCAGGAAATGGCGCAAACATTTTCAAAATTAGTGCTGAACGCCATTTGCACAGCACAATTCCCCATCTTGCAGGCCAATTCTGCATGATTTGAGATTGTGGAGGCTGCAGTAACTACTGTACTACATCGCTCCATTACTGCTGTCCAAACACCTGAATCAGCTCTTTAAAATGCAGAGTCTCTTCAATGTCATGTTTTTGGATTTGTGCCCGGTTATAATGCTTTTCTCCATCATTTGATCTTCATTGGATGAATTACTGTTGCCATGATCAATAGAAATTATACACAAATTTCTCTTGCTAATAAGATTCTGTTAACCGTCCGTTTTCCACAGAAGACTTAATGATGAAAGTGTGCTCTCATTGACTAGCTGATACTATTACATGCTCTCACATGATGTCTTCTGGCTAAAGCTTACAGTAGCATAACATGCATGGCTGCACACATGCTTACATAGAGTTTGTTTGTATCTTTTGCATTTTCCAATTTCAATTCTCTCCAAACGAAATGCTTAAATCTGTCTGTAGGATTAAAAGAGGATCAGGAGTAGGAAGATGAATAATGCTTTTATTTTGCAGTTTCCATCGGAACCAATGGTCTATGTAGTTTGCTATTTAATTTCATTAAACCCAACACAAATATTCCTCAGAAGTTTAAATTATTTTCGGTTATTGTGAAATGTGAGGAGGTTAGAGGAGACGGACTCTGATTATTAGGCCATAAATAAATCCCCAATCGATGTCGTATACTTAAAAGCACACCTAATTCTACACATAACATTTCAACAGCTCTTGAAACACACATACACACCCACCCACACACGTTGTGTTTTCATGTTTTAGACTTTCCATAAATATAATGATTGTATACCTTACAAACTGTATATTCTACCCAAGCGGCAACATTCTAATCTAAAAAATGAAGCCTTCCCGGAAGTGCGAAAAACTGCAATACATCGAAAATCCGCTAGAGGCCGGTCCCAAAAGGGAGCAAATGTCCATTTTAAAATGTCTGTTTTCACAGCATAAATTCATGTTTTTACAGTTTGGTCCCATGGACTTTTATTGTAATCTTCAATATTGTCCGCGTGACTGACAACTGTGAGGGGGGTGAATTTTTTTCTAAATCGTTAGTTTAGATCGTATTTAGATATATAATGTATGACAAATAAGGGCAGTTAACTTTGATTGACAGCTGATAACGGGCTGCGCCGAGTGGAATTTGACGTCTCGGCCATGATCTGACACAACACATCATACCACCTCTGTATCCTTTCTGAACATTTGTATTTTGTATTTCCCAAGATATTCCAGTATGGCGCCGCCCATACCCCCCATAAACAGCCTCAGAACTGTTCTTCAGAAAGTCAGTGGATGACGTCACAGACGCTTTGTCCATATTTTTTACAGTCTATGATTCTACCCTAACCCTAACTCTACCCATCACAGAAAACATACTCGCTTACTAACAAAACCTCGGTTCACTCTAGAAGAGGAAAGTCATTTGGCCCAAATTCCATTCACGTCGCGCTTACTGAGAGCGGATGTAAATCCCCTATGCACTTCACTGAAGCAAGAGTCATAAGAAACACTGTCTTGAATGACAGATGTTTCATGTCCGACAAGTGGATTGGCTTTCATGGCTTCCAAAACCATGGAAAGTTCCCACGTGGGGACTGAGGGGGGTCTGGGAAGATTCAGCCTCTAAGCTCCTTTAAGGAAGCGGATGACCAGATTGTTCTTCCCCAGTGACTGGCCAGTTGCGAGTTTTGTAAATGCTGCTATGGCCGCCACATAAACTTGTGGATGTACGTGGATGGGGTTCTTCCCTTATCCAGTAGCTCTTGAAGGAAGGAGAGAATTTCCATAACCCCGCAGTTTAGGGGTGAAAAGCCTTGGGATTTGCACCAGCCAGAAAACAAAGACCATTTTAAGGAATATCTAGAAGACGGCACTCTAGCCTTCGTGATCAAGTTTAACTCTCCCTCGGGAAGGTTTGTGGGTACTTGTTGATGGCCCATGCATGCAGGGACCACAGCTCTAGTTGAGGATGCCAAATCGAGCCCCGGGCCTGAGAGAGGAGGTCTTTCCTCGTCAGTATTTGCCATGCGGCAGTGCTTGTCAGCTGCATCAGACTGGGAACCAAGCCTGGTTTTTCCAGAGCGGAGCCACAAGTAGCACTGAGCATCCATTTTCCCTGATTCTTTAGAAATACCTGAGGCATGAGTGAGATGGGGGAAAAGCATAGAGTTGGCAGCAGGGCCAGACGTGGGCCAGCTCATCCCTTGTCTTGGAGAAAAACTTCAGACAGTGAGCGTTTTCTTGGGACACAAACAGGTCTACCTGCCCTCTGCCGAATGTCTCCCGCAGCAGTAGGACCGTCTGCAGGGACAGAGACCATTCTCCTGCTGGTTGCTGGTTTCTGGACAGTCTGTCTGGTCCCAAATTCAGCTGACCAGACACATGTGCTGCTCTCAATGAGCGCAGATTGTGCTGAGCCTAGACCAGGAGGCGTTACGTTACCCTGTAAAGTTTTCGGGACCTGACGCCACCCTGGTGATTTATGTAGGCCATGTTGTCAGAGTGGACCAAGACGTGGTCACCTTTTATTTGGGGGACAAAAAGGCCTCAGCGTGTCGACTGCCATCATTTCTAGACAGTTTATGTGTAGGAGCTTCACTTCACGTGTAGTAGCACCACTGGCCAAAGAGCGGTCTACCCTCGACCCGCACTCCCCAACCCGAGGTGGAGGCATCCGTGGACACCACTCTCACACTCGAGGAAGTCCCCAGTTTTACACCTGACTGGTACCAGTTGATTGCTCTTCAAGGTTTCAGAGCTGTGATGCATTTCTGATCAACCTTGAGGTGAAACAGACCAACTTATTTGATATATAATTGTTTATTTATAATTCTTATGATTGATTATTGATAGTACAATTGATCTATTTTCGCTGACCTGGATGGAGAACTGATCATAATTCGTTGTGTTCGGCTTGTCCAAACAGGCCGTTGGTAATTTTTCCCTCATGGGTAATTTTATAATTTGTAGGTGATTCCCCGATCATGTTTCAAGTTATTACATTTATATTCCTGGTATCTGAGCTAATAGGAATATTCCAGGTTCCATACTGTACCAACGTCAGCCACTATCTGTCAGAACACCCAGACTCAGCCTGAAAGCTACTCTCTTTATAAGTAATTGTATATTTCAGTGTTTTGGTGCACTCAGCAGTGTATTAGAACACATTCAGCGAGAGCATGATGACATTTAGATAGTGCTAGAGAAGAGAATGAGATCCCCTCTAGAAACATGCCGTTTAATAGCCTTTTTGATCAGTGTAACACTCCTGTGCTGATATGGTTTGTGTGTGTTTCAGAATGCAGGAGCGGGCTGTACAGAGGGTGTGCGCGTGGTTCTTGCTGGTGTTTTTGACCCTTCTGTCTCTCTGGGGTCACCTGTCTGATGCCTCTTCTCATCGCAGTCACATCGGTAAGTCAAGGTCATTCAGTCAAAGTTCATTCAGTCAAGCCTGTTGTTGTTGTTGTTTTACTTTCATTTAAACCTACAGCGTTGATCATTTTAATGAGCCATCTCAAGTCAGATTTGGGGCGATATTACCATAAATATTTTCCGTCTGTTTTTATTTTGAGGGTCTGAAGTTTTTGTTTGGTGCTTATATTTGTCTGAACCAGAAATTTGAACAACCCAAAGACAGAAAGCAGTGTGTTTTAGACAGCTCAGTGGTAGGTGGATGCTTAGATCAGCTTAAAATAGTCTAGAGGATGTTCTCTATTCATGAGAAGCACTGATGGACCGCAGGACACTGACGTCATTGGGATCATGTGGAGGCCACTGGAATGTTCCAGTAGAAAGTGCTGCTAAAATTATTAGTTTATTTGTCCTAAGCACTTGTTTCTCTTATAATTATTGAAGATGACATTGATTCTGATTTAGATAATTGGCAGACGCTATTAAAGCTTCTGTTTTTTGGCATGTTAGACTACCGATCGAAAGTAAAGGCTCTGTATGATTTTTCAAACGCTTTTGAAAGGCAACATTTATTCAAATATTTATCAATATTTATCAAAATACAGAAAAAAAACTAAAAAGTAAATGTTGTGAAATATAAGTACAACTTAATTTTTTTTTTCTATTTTTACATATTGTAAAATAATATTTTTTAAAAGATTTTGTAATGGCAAAACTGCATTTTCAGCATCATTACTCCAGCCTTCAGTGTTGCATGATCCTTCTAATATCGTTCTAATATTCTGATTTGCTACCCAACTGTAATTATCATTATTGAAAACAGTTCTGCTACTTCATATTTTTGTGGAAACTGAAACAAAAAAAATGTTAAATGGAAATGTTTATAGATATTAAAGATATAGAAAAATAATATTTTCTAACAATGTCTTTTGATCAATTTAACGAGTCCTTGCTGAATAAAAGTATTAATTCTTTCAAAAACAATTCCCAAACTTTTCTCCCAACTATCTTAAATCAGTAGTAAATCAAATGTAAGTTTTGTTATTTGTTCATTTTGATAACCATGTTGCAATATCTACCTACATTTATAGACTAACTTCTGATGCAACACAGTGCAATTCACACTTTTTTTTAATAGTTTATTTTTCCATTATAGCAAAATGGTTTTGATACGAGGGTGGTAGACCTATCTGTCTTTTCCTGACTTGTGCAGTAATTTTAGGCCACTTGCCTGAAACTATTAATATGAGTTGTTTTTAAAAAATAACAGTCTGACAATGCATTGAGGCTTTTCCAAATGCTTTCGTTTGTGGTGAGCAGATTTCATTTCTTAACAACATGACTCTCTCACTGTGCAAACTTCTCTCATCTCGGAGCAAAATGGAGGTTCAGACTTTTTTTTTTGGAGAGGGTGTAAGGCACCATTAAAAGAAAATATTAAAACAAAGGGAATGATTTGTGAATACATTGCATTTATTGTCACTTTAAATATATATATAATGAATTATACAGCATACTACTGGAATGTACTGTATGATGTAGCTCCCTATAATACATAGTGTCACAAATAGTGTCTCTGTTTAGTATAGGAGTGTGCACTGCCCATTTGTGAATATGAAATCCGCATGCTTTTTTTTGGCCACCACCTTCCCTACAAAGTATTATTTTTTTTAGACTGGATAAGTAGTCCAGAAGTTGAACGTGTGAGCCAATCAGAGGGAGGAAATAGTTTAGACAATCAGTTAATTACACACTACTGCTAACAGGTCAGAGCAAGGTGGCTGAACACACACACACACTAAACCACTGGGAGGGAAAAACTAATAACTCTAAACTCTTCTTCCCTTCGAGCAGCAGAGGCTTCAGGGACAATGAGCTAAATGAGAGTGAAGTATTTGTTTCACACACACATACACAGGGAATATAGCCAGAAAGTTTGCTGCTACTGTAGGTCATTCTTTATGAGGCTCATCCTCTCAATAAAACTAATATCCCTAGAGAGAGAGAGAGAGAGAGAGAGAGAGAGAGAGAGAGAGAGAGAGAGAGAGAGAGAGAGAGAGAGAGAGAGAGAGAGAGAGAGAGAGAGAGAGAGAGAGAGAGAGGGAGGGAGAGAGAGAGAGTAAAGGAGGGAGAAGGGCTGCAGAGATCCATTGAAGGGCATAAAAAAATAGAAAGAGAATTGTGGAAAGAGAGACCGAGACAGATGAGTGTGTCATGAGATGAAACGCAGGAAGAGACACAGCTCTTGTGGACGACTGCAGTCCTGAGCTCTCATGCCCTTTGAATGTGTGTGTGTGTGTGTGTGTGTCCTGTGCCCTTATGCCCTGTAAAACATGAGTCTACCTGACATCTCCTAAACCTTTCCAGTGTGCCCACCCTAAGCAAGACTCTGAGACCAGTGAGATGGTCCAAAACTATGGAGATCAACAGTTAATTTCAGTTGGGATGGTGTGGTGCAAAGTCTGAAAAACTTTAAATTGGTTCATTGGGAAGATCGATGGAGATCAAATTGTTTAAAAAGAACCAATACACCAATTCAAGTTGTTGTGTGTTTAGCATCTTTTTAATAAAGAAATAAATAAATGTTGCTTTTTGTGCTATCTATAAATGTTTTTGACTCATTTTATATATTTATTTAATATGTAGCACTGGTCTAAAAAAATCTGTTTCAGTAAATTGGTTCAGTGAGAAGATTTATGGAGACTAAACGTCAAAAAGAATTGATTCAAAGATTTGAGTAAATTTCTATAATAAATACTTTCATAACTATATATAGAGAAGTTTGAAAAACGTGACTCATGAATTCAGGTCTCACTGCATAGCAGCTTGAGTTTTTTTAAACACTGCTGTTTTTGGTACAAACTATGTTTTTGAATAAATATAGTGGGGAATACAAACCAGTTTTTACAGTTTAGTGTAAATTTATCTGTCAAATGTTTATCTGTCAAAAACATTTGCACCCTAATTGAGAGTCATTCATTCAGAAAGCCTTTTTGAGCCAGGTACTAACCACAAACAAATACTATTCTGATTAAAATGATATAATTTGATAGTTTCAATATGTTTTCACGTATGATACGCACTTTATGGTGTGTAATATGTACGCACTCCGCACCCCTATAAGCCAAGGGGGTTACGGTGCGTAGCATATGCACCAAAAAAACCCTAAAAAAAACCCCAACATTTTTGGTGTATAAATGGCATGAGAAATACAATTTGTGGTATGGATAATCACTTTCATGAGATCTTGGCTTTTAAAAGTTGCTTCCCCAACACTATTTGTGTGTTTGAGAGTGTGACGGTCACATTGTCACTGACCGATGGTGCTGTCATGTGACGGAACCGTATTGTTCAGTTTTTATGATTTTTGTCGCTCCTGACCTTGTTTTATCTCCAATCTGCCAGCTCCTTTATATACTCTCTGTCTCTTTCTGTGTGTATTTGAACATCAACAAAGAAACCAGATATTTCTGAGTCACATTTGTTGCCCTGATCTTTGAGATGTCAGTGAGGCTTGTTCAGTTATTAAGCTTTACACTTTTGTGTAAAACATATCAACAGAAGAACTTTCACATATAAGAATTTTTTTCACTCAGTGTTTGTCAGTATGAAACATTGTTTTTTTAGTTTAAGATCATACAAATTAGATTATATACATAAAATACTTAAACATTTCTTACACACGCACATTATTTTAAATTCAATAGATGTTGTATTGCTACTGATGTATCAGATCTCATTTAACCAGCATATGAGTTTTTCTGTTTATGTCATATGGCTTAAGGTCTTTCTTTTTGTTCTGTAATAACTCTAAAAGCAGGCAATTTCTGTCTGACAAAAAAAAAAAAACTCCTTTTTTCCATGATTCTCTGCTGTGTGTGTGAGCTCTTCCTGTGACTGTTCACAGTCTGTCCAAGACACCCATATGGCCTGTGAGAGACACAGAAGGAGAATTAAAAATGTGAAACTTTCAAGCATGCTGCTCCGTTTTCATCTGTGGGATAAAACATGTAGGTCACGCCACCATCAAACCCTCCCAGAGCACCCCAGCCTCATTCGGTTTTATTCAACCATATTTTTTCATCACTTTTGGGATTTAGTGTCGCTATTTTTGAAATCATGTCACTTCAGTAGCAAACATATTGTGTTTAGTTCATTACATATAAGTTTAGTGTTGACAAATGTTATATTTTCTGAATATTTCATCAATCAAGCTGTGTGTCCAGTATTTTACACTATTGTTCAAAATAACAGTTGCATTTATTTGGCTGCATTTAAAAAAGGCTGTATTTATTTGATTAAAAATACATGTAGTAACAATTGTGAAATATAGTATTACAATTTAATATATATATTTTTTTTATTGTTTGTTTTAAAATGTAATTTATTTGATTTTTGATTTTCGTCTTGGGCTTCGTAAGCCAAGGCGATGGCATCCACTATCCAGTGGGCCAACCTCTGCTTGGAGACAGCCTTCCCTTTCTGCTGGAAACAAAAGATTCTCCGCCCGGCCCTCCACCGGGGGAAGGAGTGGCGCGTTCGCCACCTACTAAAGATCAAGTTGATCCACCTCTGGGCCGCCCGTCTCTGGGTCGTTTGTACCGACGCTTGCGTCCTGGTTTGGCAGCGGCCTGGACGGGCAGGGTCGGCTTCATACGGCTTGCTCCACGCTCAGCCCTGGAAGGATGCTGCTGGGTCTTAGCGGGAGCGGAGGACGCCATAGGAGGCCGACCTCGGCGATGAGTAGACGGAGGGTATGCAGCCGGCGGACGGGGGGGAGCAGCAGCGGTCCACTAGGGCAGGATGTGCCGGATGGCCTCCTCTGCTTCTGTGTGGCCGAGAACTGTTCTCTCGACCGCATTGCCGAACAACCCAACCTGGGAGAGAGGGGCATCCTGGAACCAATATTTATCGGTATCCCTCATATCTGCCAGGTTGACCCAAAGGTGGCGCTTCTGGACCACCAAGGTGGACATTGCCTGACCGACTGAACGTGTGGT